TCAAGAATTCTAATGATAAATGATAGGATCCACAATTGTTATATCTCTGCAGCTCCTCGTATCTGTTGTCCACGAACAAACATATCAAACAATTCATTAAAAAGATGAAGAAGTCAAACAAACAGTATATGTGCACTGCATATTAGATATCAAACCTGGTTACTATACGACTGATCTGGCCTGACCCCCGCGTCGCCTCTCCCTGGCGGCACGGGGGGAACCACTCCGGCGCCGCCACCTTCCCTCCTCCCTCCACCCCCCACCTCGCCGCCGCCTGAGGAGTTCGCCGGCGAAGCCCGGTCTGGCTCCAGGGAGGGTGGCGGCGGGGCATCTCTCTGCGAGGCGTGAGGGCGCATCTCGTGCGCGGGCGCGGCGAGCTTGGGCGGGATCGCGGGCGCGGCTCTGGCTCGGGCTGGTGAGGCTCCGGCGGTCCGAGGGGTGTCGCGGCGCGGCGGGGGTCTCGCTCCGGCGCGGGCGGTCCGAGGGGGCGCGGGATCTGGCGCTCCAGCAGGGGCGCCGTCAAGGGGAGCCGGGCAGGGAAGCTCGTCAGGCGGGCTCGTCAGGCAGGCGTGACGCGGGGCGGCGGCCGCGGGCTGGAAGCCATGGCGTTTTGGCCATGGTGTCGTGTGCGCTCGCTTCTCATTCGCAGCTTGAGGTGCTGCTGCTGAGGGTGGTGCGCGGTGAAGCTTGGTGGTCGGCGTTGGAGAGTGCAAGGCGCAACAGGAATGGCTCCAATGATCTCCACGCTTCTGGGTGGATCAGATCTGCGGCCCTCCATAGGGGTGTGTTCCGGGCGAAAGCCTTGACCCGACTTTGTCGGTGCCGTCGACGGCGGCGCTTTCGGGCGTCGTTTCCCTCCTTGGAGGCGTCGTTGTGGAACTCATCTTCTTCTATGTGGGGCTCGGGCTCTCCGGGTGAAAACCTAAGCTCCAGATTTTCCGGAGCGGGCGATGGCGGCGTCTTCGTCGTTTCCCTCTTGGGGGCGTTGCTTGGGAGAGTTAGCTTGTGCTTGGTGCGTTTGGTTTTCTCCTACGTCGGGTTTGGTGGATGCCGGGGCAGCGGCCCCGGACGGCTGATGAACGCCGAGGCGGCGGCCTCGGAAAGTGATGCGCGGTGCGGCTCCATGGGGCGGGGCGGTGGCTCGGCCTTCACTTGGGTGGCAATCTTGGGCCACTTGGGTGGCAGGCTTGTCGGTCCGGTCGACGCGTTCCAGAGGGGGCGGTCTGACTTTGCGTCGGGGCGGCGGCCCCGGATGTGGTGCGACGTTCGTGGTCTGCGAGCGGTTGCCTTGAGCAGCGTGGGCTGCGGGCAGCTGGGTCGCGCGGCGTTGCTGCTCGAGCGGAGCGGTGGTACGTCGGGGCGGCGGCCCCGGAAGGTGATGCCGGTTGATTGCGCTGGGCGTGACGGAGCGGTGGATGTCGGGGCGGCGGCCCCGAGAAAATCACTGTGGCGTCCAGATTTCTGTGGCAACGATGATGGTGGGAGCGATGTCGGCGACGCGGCAATGGTTGCGATAGTCGGCTCTTCTCCGGCGTGTCCACGATATTGCCTCGGTTTGTTTGTTGCTGTGGAGTCGAAGCTGCGGCGGCGAGGCCCTGTGGTATACGATGACTGGTTCCAGGTGTCCTTTCGTCGATCTTCCGTGGCGCCAGCCGTGCCTGGTTTCGTTCTTCCGAGTTCTCCGTCAGAATCGGAGCTGCGTTGTCTGTCCGCAGGTCGACATGTTGTCGAGAAGGGTGGGCTTTGCCCTGTGTGTTTCAGTCTATGCGAGTGGGCTCGGCCCTTGTTGTTCTGGTTTTTGCCCGGTTTTCCGTAATTAACTGGGCAATTCTCTTCTGCTTAATTAATAGATGAGGCAATCTTTGCCTCCCTTTCAAAAAAAAACCTGGTTACTATAGCAGGAAATTCAGGGTTGATTACTTTATTTCTTATCTGAAGGATAAACATTGTATCAAATCAGAATTTTATTTGTAAGTTACATTTTTTTTTACTTATAAAACTTGGAAACTGTTTTACTGTGACAAATAGATGCCACTAGAATCATGATCACATCGTGGCTGTTGCTATTCTAACAAATAAATGCTCCTGAACAAATGGGAACTATATATGAAGATGTATGGACCAGCATGTTCCTGTTAACCTGACCTTTTTCCTTTTTTTGCTGCTGCAGTGCAAAAGGACATACAGCTTGCAAGGCGTATCGGCGGGAGGAGGCTTTGGTGATACTTCTGGAAGACGTTTTCTGCATCATAGGGGGGAAAGACTCTGGTGATACTAATGGGAGATGTTTTATGTATTGGGGGTGCAAAGGCAGTGTTCATAGTGGTCCAATATGTTTGACTGTATCGTTAGAAAGTATTGTAGGTGTATCTTCATTTAGTTAGCTTTGTCTTCGAAGTTGATCTGATTCGTTACATGTTTGGGATCATTCGACTTCTTCATTCAGGCATTGTTCCATTTGAATTGATTGTGGATATGGGATTTTAAATGACTTGGAATCGGTTGTGGATTTTCCACATTATTGAAGGAGCGAACCAGAATTGCGCGCAAGCGTTTTCATGCATGTTTTGTTTGTGATCAGCCAGCGCCTTTGCAGTTCTTCGCAGTTCTAATGATGCAGTACAACTGCTGTCACACACCGCACCATTTCTTCGATAATGATGCAGTACAACTGCCATCACACACTGCGCCATTGATGGATCAACAATGACGATCAAACTTCACGCTGATTTCAAGACTCGTATAGGAATTGGCTGTCAAATTCTCACCCAGATATCTCAGCTAAAACAGCAACGAAAAGACACTTTCTTTGGGCGGCCCCACATACATGACCAATATGATGAGATAGAGACGGACATAACTTATCATGTACAAAGAAGGAGCTCTGATAAAATTAAAACATGTACCTGGCAGATTTACACACACTGACAAAGCCTCGGAACAGACAGATCATCTGGGACATGCTAAGGGCCGCCTAGGGCTGCTACTCGTCTACAAACTCTGAACCACCGGGCTGGGACAAGCTACAACACCTCAGGCTACCAACTGTTTCTACCACAACCACGTTAACCATATGAGCGGTGTAATTCTACAAAATTTACTATCGACGTCAAACAGGGGCAGAACTTGTTCTCCGGAGTTGATACTTGGGTTCTGGGGGAGGCGCGGAGGTTATCATCATGTCCAACTCCTGAAATTATCATGAAATGGAAGGCGTCAGACATGACATCAATATAACATAATATGAAATGGAAGGCGTCAGAAATGACATCAATATAACATAATATAAGCTACTTGGCATCCAAAAGAAGTGTGGGGATATTGTTTAGAGAGGGAGTGCTTAGCATCCAAAAGAAGTGTGAGGATATTGTTTGCTGAATTGAAGAACAAGAGTCAATTACATCATGCTGACAAAAAAATATTTATAGCGACAAAGTAATGACCAATGAAATATTGCTAGATATTGCTAGATATGATTGTGTTTGGCAAAAAAAGAACAGGACTACAAATATTGCTAGATATGATTAATATCACCAGCATCATCTTTAGGTGATGTGGTCTTAACAGATAAATGGCAGGCACCCATTGCAAGGACCAAATGGAATTGCACTCTCTGTGGTTTTCTTTTACCCGGTGCTCTGTTGCTTCACGTGTGATTATGATTTAGTGAGTACAAAGTCTAATGTATTCATTTCCAATGTTGATCTGTTTGTTAAGTGTGGTTCCTGTCAATGTTCATGATATGTGTTTATTTTACTTTCATGAAGGACTGCAATCTGTTGGGTAACTCCAGGTTTGTCAATTGTATAAAGAACTGGGTTTTCATTTTTAGATTGTACGGAGGACTACAGGGAAGCAATTCTATTACACTGCTAACTCGCCAAGTATAGAGCCATGATTCATTGATTCAAACAAAAGTTCATCAAGATAACCTATCTATATATTCAATTCTCAGCAGCAACTTAGTTTTGATCAACCAAAGCAAATGCCGTAAGGGCGCCAAGCATCTTACTGAATTGCTACACTGTAGAGAAGGGCAATAAAGTTCTATGAATTAATGCTGCAGTTCTTCGTACAAACTGCTTATTAGGAATAGCATGTAGTGCTGAAATCACTCGCATTGTTAACTAATAAGAACTACTAAGAAGCAACCGAAACAATAGAGTACAACATATGTGCTTGCAACTATATATCTTATATAGACAAACCCCACTACAAGTCATTAAATAGCAGTTTTTCTGCTTCCATATCATTAAAATTGTTGTAGCCATGCACATATCAAGTTCACAATGCAAAACATCGACATGCTTAGCCTAACTACATCGGTCAATACATTCAGTAGGGTATATTCAATTAAATAAGATGCTCGAGAACTTCATAAGAGTTTCCTCTAAATTCGAATGACCAGCTGCTTATATCTCCAAAAATTACTAAGTTCAAGCTAACAAAAACTAGCTCCATTCAGTTGGTTTATATACATTATGGTATGTTTGGCCTTGTAAAAAAGTGTAGCACAAAGTCAATGCCAAAACTTAGTTAGTGTAAGCAAGAAAAATAACTTTGAGACTCCACTTTCATTACATAGCCTCCAATAGATATTTGAACATAAAAAACAAACAATGAGATCACTGCATCTGTCTGTCAGCCTGGTAACTAACATAGTTTTCTCAACAATACTGGACAAAAAAAAGTAGCAATGATCATATGGGGTTCAGCAGTGACAATATAGATACAGGTCTGCAAATCATACTAAATGAGTTGTGTGGGTGGTCGTACTATGGAATTAACTAACATGATCACATCAGTATAGTGCACTTATTACACATGATATTATTGAGCCCAAGTAAAAAAGAAGTTGAACGATCGACTAGTGTGAAACAAAATAGCTTACTACCTGAATAAAAACATTGTTACAATAACTTGGGTTCACTACAATGCATAGTGGAATGCTGTAGTTAAATATCCCCTCCACCAAAAAGAAGGGGCGAAAAGTAACAGTGTTACAGTAACAGAAGACAAAGTACCTTCTGCTTCTTCAACCTCTCGTTCTCCTCTTCTAGACGAGACACCTTGTTTTCAAGCTCATTAGTATAAGCCTGCCAAGTAGAATGCAATAGGTTATTGCTATATTTTTATTAATATAGTAGAGTGACATGGAATGAGAATAACTCAATAGGCTACTCCAGTGGCATAGTCGATTCTTTTTACTCTGCATATAAGTTTAGTCTGAAGTCAAACTTTGTAAATTTTGACCAACTTTATAGGAAACAAATATCAACATTCGCAATACAAAATCAATATCATTAGATGCATCATGAAATTAATTTTCATACTGTATAACTTTAGTATTGTAGATGTTGATATTTTTTATATAAATTTGCTCAAACTTTATGAAGTTTGACTTCAAACAAATCTTATATGCGAAGTAAAAGAAACGGAAGGGAGTACCTAATGATACTCTTGCAATTTGAGACTAAAAAATGTAATACAAATACTTAAATCGATACATTCAACAATAACTTTTCACAAAGTTTTGATGCTGCAATCATAACATTATAACAGGGCATAAACAATGCGTAAGAAAACAGGAATAGACAGGACAATAGCTGTAGACCTGCTTCCTCGCTCTGGACCGTGCAGCTGATTCCCTGTTTTTTATCATTCTCTTCTGCCTTCTTTCTACGACTTTATCAGTTACACCATCTGAGGCACCACGCTTGCGCCTAGGTGTCTGAGGATCAGAAAGCGCATCGAGCATTGGTGACGTAATCTGGCCATCCGGGTAAATTGGTTCCATGATAGCACCTGTAGCAACAGACAATGGCTGAGGACCCAAATGACTTGCCATGAAAGGACCTGCCATGCGTGGATGCTGGGGCTCCAGGTACTGCTGTAACCAATGCGCTCCGGGGTTCAAACTGGGCGCAGCAGCCTCAATTACACTGCTCCCAACCGCACCCATGTTAGCTGGCAAGTCAATCGGATCCTTCAAATGCCCTTCAGCGACAACTCCAGCTTTCACCAGGAAATCCTCAAGTGTCATCTCCCCAAAGGTCGGCTGCCTCTCCCGCCTCCGCCGACTACCCTCCTCGCCACTTCTCTTCGGCGAATCCTGGATGCCCTTCCACACCTCGTCCACCGTCTTCTTGCTCAGGTCCGGAGGCATGGTGATGCTCCCCTGGCGAAGCAGGCCCGGGGCCGGCTCAGACTGGCCGGCGACGCCGCCGACAGGATCCACGCCGTCAGGAAACACGCTCTTGAGCAGCTCGTCGAGGTTCATACTAAGCAAAGGCTCTGTCAGCTGGCTCTGCACCTCATCGAGGGTAAGGCTGTACAGGGAACCTTGCCTCCCCAGGCCCTGCTGCGCCTGCCCGCGCTGCCCTGGGCCGGCATAGCCGCCGCCGCCACCGCCTCCTGCCTGCGACTGCGACGCCATTGCCTGAATCATGAACCGGCGGTCTCTTGGACTGGTCGCCCCTATGGGGACAAACACCTCGGGAACAACGGTGCCCAAAGCAGCCCCCTTTCCACCGGCAAAGACCCGGTCACAAGTCGCCGAACCGCAGATCCACGAGACGGCGCACTGCGGCAGCACGCGCCGGCGAACGACCCTCCTATGAGACAGTAGCATGTTTGCATCAGACAGAATCGCACACCCGTTCATGAACAGAGTGGCATGGGAAGGAAAACACGAGCACAGACGGGACGAGCGCGCAAGGAACGTTAACCCAACCTCGACTTGTCTTCCGGAGACGACGGCGACCAGCGGATTGGAGGCAAGTCTGGCGACCGGATCTCCGCCGCTCCGACCTCCCAGCTGGAGTCCGCGCCGAATTGAACGGGGCACCCGCGCGATTCCCGCCCGCCTGGCGCCGGATCAAGGCCCCGCGCGGCGGTCAGAGCTGGCTGAGGCTGAGGCTGGCGCCTGCCATTGGGGAAGGGAGGAGGAGGCGACGGCGGAGGCAGCCACGGTGGGAGTGGAAGTGGAGGAGAAGGAAGAAACTGACGGGAGGGCCCTGATGCGAAACCGTGGGCGACGGGGGGCAATGGGCCCACCAGAGGACGGAAATGGGCCTGGGTGTTTACGCACCCCCGCCTATCGGATAAAAAGTGCCGGATCCGGAGCGTGTCGGGTGCCAGTTTGAGCTTCCAACAAAGAAAACATTAACGATGCAAAGTGAGGTTTTTTTTGTCGATGCAAATGGAGCTGCTAGTACGATGTCGATGGGCTAAGAGCATCTCCAGCGGCAACTTGTAATTTTCCTTCCACTTACGTCCGCGAGTAGAAGGTGATCAGTCCGCAGACACGGATGCGGAAAACCGTCATTCAACCATAATAACCGCATACATTTCAAACTTTTTTTCAACAAATTGGATGAAATTCGTGATTAGATTTCATATAAATATGGGGATTTCTATTTTTGTGCCCTCAGTTACTTAGTATTCCTTAATTTTGCCCCATTCAGCTAGTGTCCCTCACTTCTGCTCTCCATCACTCGTCCCACACTCAAAAATATCCAAAACGGAGTGATTCCGTCGGGTCAATGTAGGTGTCCGTTACCTGGCGCATATACTGACGCATGGGGCATCCAGGACTCACATGTAATAGTGAAATATATAGACATGTAGGACACCTCAGGGCCTGTATGTCAGTGTCTGGTTTATTTGCAAAACGAAGGGTGAAATATAATGCCGTTAATGGGGGTCGAACACAGGAGCAACAATTGAATAGGCATCGTGCGAGCCATCTCAGCCGTGTGCGTCTGTGTCCTTATGGGCAGACCCTCGGCTATGACTTGATATTTTCTACGTTACACAAGGGCTCACGAATCAGTGACCCTGAAAAGATAGACCACGGCAGTGAAAAATACAGTAGATTTAGAGGTTCATATAAGATTAATAATGACCCGAGCGATCAAAAAAAGATTAATAATGACCCACAGGTATAGATTGTAGTCTTTTCGATAAATAAGAGTATTGAACCCAACGAGGAGCATAAGGAAATAACAAACGGTTTTCTACAAGGTATTCTCTGCAAGTACTGAAAGTAGCGGTAACAGATAGTTTTGTAGCAAGATAATTCGTAACAAGTAGCAAGTAACAGTAGTAACAAAGGGCAGCAAGGTAGTTCAATCCTTTTTATAGCAAAGGACAAGCCTGAAAGTTCTCTTATACAGAGTAGTAAGCAAAGCGTTCTCGAGGACACATGAGTATAGGTTCATACTAATCAAATGTACAAGTAACTGACCCTTATCAAGCTTTACACACATAGTGTTTTGATCTAAGATTGCAATTCTTCCATGTTTCCGCAGTAGCATATTGTTCCATGGAGCTAGGGTCCAAAATAGGAATCAACAAGTGTTTCCACGACTCTACCGCCCAGCCAATCCTGTTCCACTGAATCCCCTCCCTTTTTCATGGCCACATATCTTTATGGCTAAGGAGTGGGAAATCTTTCTCCTGTTACACAAATCAAATGTTTCATTTGGGAAAAGCCACCTCTTTCTCCACAAACAATGCCTTTGTCATTTGATCAAGTTTTTATCTGTTTGATAGGAACAACTTTGCTAAATATTGAGAACTCTCAGATAGAGTATTAGAATGAAAATACCATTAATTATATAAGGAAGAACCCAGGGTTCTAGCACATCTCCATTCCTAAGTCATGCAGGCCTCTTCACGACTCAAAGGAGAGTCCCATCCGAACATGTATAAAAATGATGAAAGGTGGCTTTGCCATTGAGGGAGTCCTGGATTATGGGGTCCTCGGGTGGGCTGTGTGATATGGGTAGGACTGATGGGTGGTGAAGATATAAGGTAGAAGGCCTTCCCCCATGTCCGGATGGGACTCTCCTTTGAGTGGATGGCAAGATTGGCGTCTGGGTGTATAGTTTCCTTCCTCTGTAAACCGACTCTGTACAACCCTAGGCCCCTCGGTATCTATATAAACTATAGGGTTTAGTCCGTAGAGGCTATCGGAATTCATATAGGCTAGACAGCTAGGGTTTAGCCATTACGATCTCGAGGTAGATCAACACTTATAGTCCATATACTCATCAAAGTCAATCAAGTAGGAAGTAGGGTTTTACCTCCATTAAGAGGGCCCAAACCTGGGTAAACTTCAGGTCCCCTTTGTCTCCTGTTACCTTTGATCCTTAGACACACAGTCCGGGACCCCCTACTCGAGATCGGCCGGTTTTGACACCGACATTGGTGCTTTCATTGAGAGTTCCACTATGTCATCGGCAGAAGGTTCGATGGCTCGTTCAATCGTCAACAACGATGCTGTTTCTGGGGAAACCTTCCTTCCCGGTCAGCTTTTTGTGTTTGGCGGCTTCGCTCTGCGTGCTAATTCGATTGGTCACCTCAAACAGATCGACAACTACGCCCCTGGTCATCAGATCAGATTCGGGAGCCTGAATTACGTTGCCGACATCCGAGGAGACCTGATCTTCGAAGGGTTCACGGCCTCGACAATTGTTCCTCTGCTCCAAGAGGAAAACCTATCGGACCCGTCACCATGCACCACTCAAGGACCAACTATCATCCCTGCCCTAGCCTTATATCCAGGGTAGACTACTTCATCCGAAGATGGGTATCTGAAACCCACCGGACTCTCTCCTACTATGGAACTTTTCTCCAGAGACCCGGAGGCAACTATGTCTTCGGCGAGCCTGGAATCAAGCAAGACCCTCCCTGTCATCGGGGAGCCGAACCCGCCTCAGGATGCAAACTCCAAACTATCAAGGTCTGAATCTAGTGAGCACAGCCTGGCAGAATCTGTCGTGCCTAGCCCTACAGGTCCTCGGTTCCCCGTCCGGCCTTCGCTCTTAAACGAGGCCATGGACTTAATGCGATCCCTCACCATTACGGAAGTATCGCCTCCGAACTACACCCAACCAGGACTAGGGGCTGAGAGCAGGGAATTTTACATCCCACCCACCACCCACTTAATAGCCATTGTCGAGGATTTGACTGACATGCTAGACTACGCCTCTGAAGACATCGACGGTGTGGACGAAGATGTCGGAGACAAACAAAGCCAAGACCCGCCATTCACTAGGCATTGGACGACTACCTACACATATGATGTTTATATGGTGGATACACCCAAAGAGGACGACGAAGAAGGTAGGAAAGATCCGACCAAGGACAAGCCCGCTGAGGTACCACCAAAGCGTCGACGTTAGAGGCGCCGCTCAAAATCGCGTCGCAAAAAGGAAAGCGACACCGGCAGCGGAGAAAATAACACCCCGGGCGATGCCAAAAATCCCGAAGACCCGGTCGAGCCTGCGTCCGAGCAGGATGAATGGGAGGAGGGACAAGTCAACCCCGACGAGCCAGTCAGGAATGAGGACTCGGAAGATAGTAACTATCTACCGATCTCCGAGGATGACGTTAGCCTCGGCAACGAAGACTTCATCGTGCCAGAGGAACCCCTCGAGCAAGAGCGCTTTAAGCGTCAGCTAATCGCAACTGCGCAAAGCCTAAAGAAGAAGCAACAACAGCTCTAAAGCTGAACATGATACCCTCAATGGCAGATGGACCCAAGTCCTAGCTGGCAAAGAATACGGCCTCGAGCACCCAACAAAGAGTTATCCAAAGTGTCGGTTACTACCATAATTTGACGACGAGGCCCTTGAGCCAATACCGTCAAGATATGACCACACTGATGAACCAGACCGACCACCACGTGGGCGAGATAAAGCGGTTGCTTGTGCCGAACACCAACCCCTACCACCTCGCCGTCGAGGCAAAGAGGTAGCAGCTCCGGGCTATACCTACGACTTACGCTAGGACCTGGACAATAGAGTCGGTCAGGCCAAATCAATCTATGGATCGAGGGGGCGTGCCCCAACACGAGATGACGGTCATCAAGCCTAGCGCGACAAGCATAACCTCTCCCGGGCCGAAAACCGAATATGGATGTCATCCGAACTCCGTCACGACGTTGCCCGATACAGAGGCGCCGCACACCCCTTATGCTTTACCAATGAGGTAATGCAACACCAGTTCCCAGAAGGGTTTAAATCTGTAAACATTGAAGCATATGATAGAACGACCGATCCCGCGGTATGGATTGAGGACTTTCTTCTCCATATTCACATGGCTCGCGATGATGATCTCCATGCCATCAAATACCTCCCCTTAAAGCTGAAAGGACCAGCACGACACTGGTTAAACAGCCTCCTAGAGAACTCCATTGGTAGCTGGGAAGATCTGGAGGATGCCTTTAGAGACAGCTTTCAAGGTACCTATGTCTGGCCTCTGAACACCAATGACCTTAGTCATATAGTCCAGCAACCCGAAGAGTCAGCCCGCAAACTCTGGACTAGGTTCTGATACGGCTCCGTCGTATCTACTTTTCCAAACACGTTTGCCCTTGTTTTGGACTCTAACTTGCATGATTTGAATGGAACTAACCCGGACTGACGCTGTTTTCAGCAG